GGCGCCGAGCCTGTACAGTGAATTTTAATAGTGTGTCCTTCATTCTTAAGTGCCTGTTTGGACAGTGATTTATAGGGTTGACCTCTTTGTAGGGACACAATAATACCCTCTTCTCATTGGTAAAGAACTTTTTTCTTCTACTTACAAATGAAGGAGTTAAACAATTAACTAGACCATTCTGTTTTCTCGTTTTAGAAGACATTTAACCAAAAAGTAAATTCAAAATTTTATATTTTTCTATGAAACTAAGCTAGTCACTTAACACATGAGAGATGATTGACATCTACCTTTAACATATAACTTTTTTGGCTTGGCGCCTGTGGCTCAAGTGGCTAAGGCACCAGCCACATATACCTAAGGTGGCAGGTTCAAATCCAGCCCAGTCCCAACAAAACAACAATGACGGCTGCAACCAAAAAATAGCCAGGTGCTGTGGTGGGCGCCTGTGGTCCCAGCTACTTGGGAGGCGGAGGCAGGAGACTCATTGGAGCCCAGGAGTTGGAGGTTGCTGTGAGCTGTGATGCCACGGCACTCTACCTTGGGGGACAGCTCGAGGCTCTGTCTCAAAAACAAAACAAAACAAAAATATAACTTTTTTCTTTTTAGTTTTTGTTGCTCTTGTTTCTGTTAAGTGGGATAGCAAAGGAGACATGACACTGTACACAAAAATCAAACCTATAGCATGAGGATTTTCTAGTTTCTTTCTTTTCCAGAGTGTCATATGAATGGAATGATATATGTCATACATGTTATATATAACCTTTCCTTCTTTCTTTCTTCCTTTCATTCTTTCCTCTTTCTTTCATTTTTTTGAGACAGGGTCTCCCAATGTCATCCTCGGTAGAGTGCCATGGTGTAACAGCTCACAGCAACCTCAGACTCTTGGGCTTAAGCAATTCTCTTGCCTCAGCCTCCCAGATAGCTGGGACTACAGGCATCCACCACAATACCCAGCTATTTTTTTGTTATAGTTGTCATTGTTGTTTGGCGGGCCCAGGCTGGGTTTGAACCCACCAGTCTCAGTGTATATGGCTGGCGCCCTAGCTGCTGAGCTATAGGTGCCAAGTCTTAGTTGCTTTATATTTATTTATTTATTTGTTTGTTTATTTATTTATTTTTGAAACAGAGTCTCACTTTGTCACCCTCAGTAGAGTGCTGTCACATCATAGCTCACAGCAACCTCAAATTCCTGCGCATAAGCGATTCTCTTGCCTCAGCTTCCCAGGTAGATGGGATTATAGGCATCCACCACAATGCCTCGCTAGTTTCTAGAGGCAGGGTCTGGCTTTTGCTTAGGCTGGTCTTGAACCTGTGAGTTCAGGGCAATCCACTTGCCTCGGCCTCCCAAGCGTGTGAGCCACCACGCCCAGCCTAGTTGCTTTATTTTTAAACAAATACAAATGTTTTTAGGCATTTTAGTATCTTTTCAAGACTAAGAATTTCGGAAAGGAATTTGCTGCACTATTTAGAATAACAAAAATCGGGAACAGAAGTTCAGTTGATTATGGTTATGCAAATTATGATGCTACAAGATTCCACACCAATGGAATACTATATGTATCTATTAAAAATAATGAAACACTGCTTGCTTTGACAGCACATATACTAAAAGTGGAATGATACAGAGAAGATTAGCACGGCCCCTGCGCAAGGGTGACATGCAAATTTGTGAAGTGTTCCATATTTAAAAACTACTACTAATAATAATGACGCAAGCCAGACACAGTGGCTCACACCTGTAATCCTAGCACTCTGGGGTACTGAGGCAAGAGGATTGCCTGAGCTCAGGAGCTCAAGATCATCCTGAGTAAGA